GAGAAAACATCCGCAATTCCCTCTTCCCGTCCTTCAGTCAGTGGCCCCACCACAACCCAGGTCCCTGAAATGGGAATCCAGAAGTCATCCTAGACTTCTCCTTCACCCCCATACAGCAACCCAGCCATTAAGACTTTCTGAAATCCACTCCATTCTATCCACAGTCTCCAAGTTACAAACATTAACTTACATACCACTTGCACTAATGAACAGAGGCTATTACAGATAATAGGTAAATGTCCAACTGTCCAACTTACATACAAATTCAAATTAAGAACAAACCTACAGAACCTATCTAGTTTGTAACCCAGGGACTGCCCATATTCCAATAATCTTATTTACTGCTATAGCCTCTCCTACCCTCTAAGCTTATTACCTACAAAACCACCTTTTATGCTGTCAGAACAATCCAACCAAGAAGCAAGTCTGATCATTTAATTCTCAGCTACGAGCTTCAGTGGTTTCCAGTACCTACTATTCCTTAGTCACTAATGGTAAATGTCTCAAGAGAGTCTGAGACACACAATCCTGAATCCATCCCACTACCATTTTCATCTGTTTTACATAGCAAGCTTCCTTATCAGATTCACATCAACCATGGGTTTCATGGCTTAAGAATTAAGCTTATAAAACAGTGACTGGCAGGATCAATTCCAAACTCCTTCCAACCACACACAGGACCTTCACAGTCAATCCCTGGCCCTCTCCACTGTTAACTCTCCATTACTGCCCTCTCCAAACTATGGATGCCTCCCACCAGCCTGCTGTTTTTGCTTCCTTTGCTCACGCTATCTGTTCTATTTGGAAGGCTGCTCCTTCTCGCCACATGGCTAAATACTTCACTCATCCTTAAAAAATCAGTTTCAAGAATCATCCCCTTGAGGAAAACTTCCTGGGAGTAGGATTAGCTGTCCTTTTTCTGTCCCCCATCATACCCAATGCAACATTCTATTATTAGTTAACATACTGAATTAAAATGATCTGTTAATACATCTGACTTCCTTAGAAGAGCATAAGTTCCTTTAGGGATGACAATCTGTATCTTTTCTGGAGCCTCAAAGCCTGGAAAAATGTTTCAAAGTTGGCAGTTAATCAATAAATGTTTGATGAGTGACAAACAGAAATATATCCCCCCCAGGACAAAACAAAATGCTAAATATAAAAGTACCAATTCGTCAATATTTTTAAAAATGTATATGCAAATATGAACTGAATTTCCTTGATAACTCAGTTGTAAATATATCAAAATAAACAGTTATAAAGTCCTTATCATAAAAGATAGTCAAGAATAAACACTTACTTTTCAGATAAATATAGAGTATAAAAATATCAGCATACTGGCTCAGCACCCATAGCACAGTGGCTATGGTGCCAGCCACATACACCAAGGGTGGCGGGTTCGAGCCCAGCCTGGGCCAGCTATACAACTACAACAAAAAAACAGCCAGTGTTGTGGTGGGCACCTGTAGTCCCAGCTACTTAGGAGGTTGAGGGAAAAGAATGGCTTGAGCCCAAGAGTTGGAAGTTGCTGTGAGCTGTGACGCCACAGCACTCTACCAAGGGCAACATAGTGAGACTCTGTCTCAAAAAAAAAAAAAAAAAATAATCAGCATACTAAATCTTAATATACACAAGAAAGGGAGAAAAACTATGAGTGTATTCAACATAGTAATGCTTGTATTCAAATGGCCTAATACTTTAACATGTTATTTCAACAACCAATCTGAGGGATATGCATGTTTATTTCACATGTACTTTACTGAATCTCAGAGAAAGAAGTACCACACTACCCTAACCCCCTAAGACACCTAATTATTCTAAGAAGGAAGTGTTTCTTCCACATTTAGTAGTATTTTTCCAGTATTTCTCTCATACAAGCATGACCATGAAAAAGTCTGATGCAAAAGCATATGACTATCCATGATTCACAGCACACTGGTACTTACTGAAGGTAAGACTGCCAGTTCACTTTGTTTGCACGGACTTCTGCAGCCTTGGCAGCAATTATATTGGTTGGGACAGCAGCATCCACAGCACCTCGGATATCCATTTTGGTCATTTAAATTTTATGAATTTGAATGTTTTTCAACAGATCTTCAATAGAGATATAAGGTGAAAGAGAATGCCAGATGTTATTTGTTAACAATTATTATTTTAATATCATCATCACTTTAATCTCCCTAGGCATTTAATTCAAATACTGAATATCCTAAGTCTGAAAAACCCTACCATTATTTCCCAATCTTGTCTGCTGGCCCATGAAAGAGTAGTATAGGCTTTTATTTTCCAGGAAAGGTTTTTTAAAATTATTGGCACTAATATGTAGCGAGATTCTTTTAAATGGCTATTTAAGGTACTGAAATTGGAAATCATGATTAAATAGAACAGGCAAACAAAATAGAAAAATATTTAAATTTATACAATTGGCATTAACTTTCCTCTTCTGAAAGAAAAAAAAATTAGAACCTGTATAGTACAGACAAGGCCAATCACTTTATCAACTTTTACTAAGTATCATTTTGCAGTGACATTAAAAATTTTAAGTCCTCTCTAAAATTACTCAAATAAAAATATACAAAGTGGAAACAATTTCTCAGAAGACAGTGCTTTCCTTTTCAAACTGTTGTAACCCAGCCCTCTTTCCCCCGCCCACTCCTGTTCCCCAGCCCTCACCTGTTCCCCCCACCACCACCCTCACCTGTTCCCCCACCCTCTCCAGCCCATTTCCCTCCTCCTCCCTTCTCCCCCCAGAGTCCACTCCAGGAACAAGACAAGTCCCTCCTCCCCCAAGGTTAGTGGAGAACACGTTCCCAGGCCCCCTTCTTCCTCCTAGGGTTGCCAAGAACAAGCTTCAGGTACGAAAAAAAGTCCCAAGTTTCACAAAACCCCCAAGTTCTCAGTAGATGAACAATGGTGGAAAACTGAGACTTGATTAATTACTGTTGTATAACCATAACCATTGTGATATGAAATGTGTCCACTGTCAACTGAAACTGTATTAATTATTGTTCCATTGCTGTATCTATGACTACCTGAGTTGTAACCCCCCTTAACCAGCCACCTTTCACTTCTGTAATATGCTTACACAAAGCCTATAAAAAGGTAACTCACACTCTCACCGGCTGCTGTCTCTCGGAGCAGCAGCCCCTGCAGCAGGTAAAATAAATTACCAATTAATTAACCTAAGTGGGGGTCCGAGTCTATTTTTCCAGGTCCCCTAAGTTACTTCAAAACAAAATCCGTAGCACTTCTGAAATCAATTTTTGGAGAAACTTTTCAAACAAATAACTATTAGAATTCAGGTAAACCAACAATAAGAGTATGACAACAAGAACCTACAATAATGAACTTCTATGTAATTTTTACTCCTAAATTTACAGATAAAAAGCTTAAGGCTGATTTTATCACAACACAAAATATAGGTCCCCGTTAGCAAATATTTGCCAAGGCCACAAAGAAGCTAAAGCTATCCCCAAAATACTATTCCGTTTTCCAATGACCTTAATGGATAGGAACTCACTCTCTGTACCTGAGGATCTGCTGTCTAAACAAGCAAGAGCGGCACTGACTGGCAGGCCCAGGTCAAAACAGGCTCCATCTGGGCGAGGCTAGAACGCTGGAACTAAGCTGGCTCAGCCCCCGCGACCTTCTAGGGGTACCCCAAGAGGTCTCAAGACAGTTACCCAAGAACAACTCGCACCCCAGGGCCTAGGCCCACTTTTTACTCGTCTCCTGCCCTTTCCTGCCAGCCCCTCCCATTTCTTTCCCCTGAGGAAAGGTTCTGCAATTTCGTAAATCTGCCTGAGGCCTGGAAAGAGAGAAATCCGGCAACCCCGGGCCGAAGGGCAGGAAGGGGCCCGAGCGGCTAGGGGCCTGCACGCCCCAGCGGAGGTGAAGAAACCGCAAGGTCGCCTCACCTGGTCCAGAAGCTGAGACGAAACCACCCGGAGGCGGTGTCCCTTGGTGAGCCCGGGAGGCCCCGCAACGCACCACCAGGAGGCAGAAAGGGGGCGGCAGTCGGAGCGCGGGGCCACAGCCGGGCTGCGGCGCAGAGTCAGAGCCGAGCCGGCGTTTCCTGCCCGTCCCGGGGCCTAAACAACGGCGGGGACCGAAAGGGAAGCACTCGCCCGAACCGAGGAGTCGTTGAGGCCAGCACAGGCGAAAGGAAGCCAGAGGGGCCGCAGTAGAATGACAGGAGCGCAGGTCACGTTACCAGAGGCACGTGACCGCCGCAGAAGGCGGAAGGCGGAAGCCGGAAGCCGGAAAGGTCCAAAACAGCCGGGGGAGCGGCGTGGAGCTGCGCAGCGGCGGGTTCTGGACCGGCGGCTGCGACTTAGGCCCCAGAAGAGACGCGTGACTCGCACGGGGGCAGCCAGCGCAGGAAGGACGGGCAACACCGGCGGGGGCGCCAGGTGGGGCAGGCGAGGACCCAGGCCAGAAGGAGCCGGAGAGGCCAAAACTTCATCGTAACCACGTTCTTTGTTAGCTCAAGGCAACCTAATAAAATTTTTATTCCTTGTTATTTAATTCCTCTTTGGGGGAGAAATTAAATTCAATTTTAATTTTAGTTTAACTTTTTTTATTTTTTGAAACAGAGCCTCACTGTGTCACTCTAGGTAGCGGGCCAATGGCATCATAGGTCACAGCAACCTCTAAACTTCTGGGCTCACGGGATCCTCTCGCCTCAGCCTCCCGAGTAGCTGGTATTACAGGCATCCGCCACAAGCCTGGCTATTTTTCAGAGATGGAGTCTCGCTCTTGCTGAGGCTGTTCTTGAACTCCTGAGCTCAAGCAATCCGTCTTCCTCGGCCTCTCAGAGTGCTGGGATTATAGGCATAAACCACCTCACCCAGCCTAGTTTAACGTTTATTTTTGTGATTGGGGGGTGACAATGCAGGAAAGGTTGAGAATAGCTGCTTTAAACTAACAAAGGATTTCTGGCTAAATTTGCTTCCTAAGGCTAAAGACAGAAATTTATTCTTTCTCTCTTCTAGAGGCAGAAGTCCAAAATCAAGATGTGAGCAGAGCCACACCCCTCCCAAGGCTCTGGGTGAGAATCTGTTCCTTGCCTTTTCCAGCTCCCAGGGCCGCCAGCATTAGTAGCTGCTTCTCTCCAATCTCCGCCTTTACGGTCACATGCTTCTTCCTCTTCTGTCTCTTCTAAGGGCACTTCCAGAACTTAGGGCCCAGCTGGATAATTCAGGGTGATCTGGGGATCCTTAATGGTATCTGCAAAGATCCTTTTTCCATACTGGTAGAAAGAGTGGCCAGGCCACATAGCTCTTGACTACTGACTACAACATTTGAGAAAAGGAGATCGGTATTCAATAGGCTGGTCAACTCCAATTTTGTTGTAAAACATCTGCCAGGCATCCTCAAACTGTGGCCCCCAGGTATTTTTGCTGCTGCTGTCTGTCCTGCTTAGCAGCCGACTTGTCCAGGGGCAACAGTCCAGCCCTCCAACGGTCTGAGGGACAGTGAACTGGCCCCCTGTTTTAAAAGTTTGAGGACCCCTGATTCGGGCAGCGCCTGTCACTCACTGAGTAGGGCGGCAGCCCCATATACTGAGGGTGGCTGGTTGGAGCCTGACTGGCCAAACTGCAACAAAAAAATAGCCTGGTGTTGTGGTGGGCCTGTAGTCCCAGCTACTTGGGAGGCTGAGGCAAGAGAATCAGCTAAGCCCAAGAGCTGGAGGTTGCTGTGAGCTGTGACACCACAGCACTCTACCAAGGGTGACAAAGTGAGACTCTGTCTCTTTAAAAAAAAAAAAAAGGAAGAAAGAAACCTCAAGTCAGAGAAAGAAGGAAAATACAGGGGAAAGGCAAACTAAGGAACCCCACAGGAACTCAGGGTGGACACGTCTTTCCGGAGACCAGCATTCAAAAGCTGCCTTGACAGGTACAGATCGGAAGCAGTAGACAAAGCTAGGAAGGTCTTGCCTGTGCTGCTGCGGGACGCCCTGATTTGTCAGGACTGGGCGACACCCAGGGTCAATTCTCAAGAGTTTGTAATGCAGTATGTTATGGACTAAATGCATCTCCCCAGTATTCACATGCTGAAGCTCCAAGCCCAGTGTGGCAATGTTAGGAGACGGGGCCTTTGGGAGGTAATTAAAGGTAGATGAATCACGAGGGTGGGGGCCCCATGAAGGGATTTTTGTTTTTATAAAAGAAGACATCATAGAGGGAGCAATCTCTCCCTCTCCACAAGCACAAACCACGGAAAGGCTGAAAGCCAGGAAGAAAGAAAGCCCTCACCAGAACCTGACCATGCTTGCACTCTGATCTTAGACTTCAGCCTCCAGACGGGTGCAAAAATTAGTGTCTGTTGGTTAAGCCACTTGCACTACAGTATTTGGGTAGCCTGTGCACACTAATCACATAATACAAGTGAAGCTTCTTAATCACACCCCAGAACAAAGTGTGAATAAACATCTCTTACGACAGAGGGGCCTTAAAACCCCCATAAACAAACACAAAACATAAGGGAAAGCCGCTCAATCTCTCTCAGTCGGAGACACATTTATTGGGCGTCCCAAATTTGCCAGGCATTCCTTGGGATTTCCTTAGAGTTGCTCAGAGGACCACAGATTCAGGGAGATAATCCAGTAAGAGCAATAATGGACTTGGGTCTAGCTGGCTGGGAGGCTGGGAGAGGAAGCTGCTATCCAAAGAGCGGAGGGGTATGTGGGGCTCCTCAGGACTGGTGCTTGCACTCATCTTAGACAAGGCAAGCTGATCAAGGAACAGGTGAAAGGCATTCCAGGAAGAGAGAGAGAAAGACTCTCAGAACCTGCAGTAATCCCTTTCCTTCTATACCTGCCAACATGGTCAGTTTTAAGATGAAATAGTTTGCTTCATGGCAAGAAAAATCCAGAGTATAATGTCTCACTCATACGTAGAAGTTAAAAATCGATCTTGTAGAGGTAGAGAGTAGAAAAGTGGTTAACAGAAGTGGGGAAGGGAGAAGAGTTAGCCAGGAGGCACTCTCCTTCCAGAGAAGCACAAAGACATGAAACACAATCTGGAGCAATGCAGGGCACACAGGGGCTGCTTCACAACTGTCTTGGCATTGCCAGAGATTTGTCAGGCATAGGAAGAGAAGACGCAAGTGGCCCCTGGCACTATCTCCCTTACATTTCATTACTCTTTAAAACACATCTATTAGTGATTTTCCTAGTCCAACCAGGCTCCTGTAACAAAGTACTATAGATTACTTGGCTTTATCTACCCACAGTTCTAGAGGCTGGAAGTCTGAGATCAGGGTGCCCGCAGGGTAGGCTCTGGCCAGGGCCCTCTTCTGGGCTACAGATGGCTGAGTTCTCACTGTATCCTTATGTGGTGGGAAGAGGGTATGGGAGCCCTCTGGGGTCGCTTTGATAAGGGTGCTAATCCTATTCATGAGGACTCCACTTTTTTTTTGCAGTTTTTGACCAGGGCTGGGTTTGAACCTGCCACCTCCAGCATATGGGGCCGGCACCCTACTCCTTTGAGCCACAAGTGCCACCCAGGGCTCCACTTTTATGACTAAATCACATCCCAGAGGCCCCACCTCCTAATATCACATTGGGAGTTAGGGTTTCAACAAAGGAGTTTCAGAGAGCCATTTGGACCATAACAGTGATCTCAACTGCCTAATTATACATTCATATGCAACATACTCTTTGAGCTACTTTGTAATTAATTCCTTTATAACTGAGCTCCAGATTTGTTATTTTAAGATGGCATTAGGAAAATTAGATAAAACCATGGTGACAGGAGAAAATAATGGCCATAATTAATTTATTCATCATATTAAGTTAATATCACATATTTTTAACAATTCTTCACTAGAATAGCATTGTATTACATGTTTGGAAAAAATATAGCACTTAGAAATCATCAGAGAGTAGAAAAATGATGGCATTTCAATGGAATTTCTTCAGTTTAAAATATATGAAATGTACAGCTTGGTGCCTGTAGCTCAGTGAGTAGCCCTGGCTACCTACACCAGGGCTGGTGGGTTTGAGCCCAGCCCAGGCCTGCTAAACAACAATGACAACCACAACCAAAAATAGCCAGGCATTGTGGCAGGCACCTGTAGTCCCAGCTACTTGGGAGGCTGAGGCAAGAGAATCGCTTAAGCCCAAGAGTTTGAGATTGCTGTGAGCTATGACGCCACAGCACTCTACCCAGGGTGACATAGTGAGACTCTGTCTCAAGAAAATAAAATATATGAAGTGTGATAAACATCATTTCCAATCTTTCCTTGCCAAACATGAATTGACCTATATTTGCCCATAGAAATAGAGGTGTTCTCATCAAACTCCTATTCTAAAAGATTTATTGTGAAAATTTACCTCCCCCAAGTGAAGACTGTACTACCAGCCTACCTTCAGCTACCCAAGATGTTTTACAGCTCACTGAGTAAAACACAGTTTAATGCAAGAATGGTTTTTTCCATTCTCTTTTATATGATCCTCTTAAGAACAATAGCCATTTTCAGGAAACTGGCTTTGTTTGGTATAACAGTAACTCTGAACACTCGGCCCATGAGCCCTTCACAAAGTGCCCTAACCAACTACCTCACGGCCTCTCATTGCTTTGGTATTGTCAAAGCAGGTCTGGTAATGAACTTACAGGTTTTCACTTCCACTCTGTGCCCTAAATTCTTACGATAGCTAAGCTTTGTATTTTCTAGGTAAATTAATTTTATTATATTATACTGCACCATAGGCCCTATAAAGACAATTTCAAATTTTAAAATACAGTCACTGTGGTTAGAAAGCTTCTAAAATGGGTCTTACTTATCCCCACCTCCCAGTGATTCACATCCTCAAGTAATCTTCTGTCCTTGAGGTGAATGTAAAGGGGTTACCCTTCTGAGATGAGTTTACAAAACTCTGGGACTGCTATCTTGCTTGCATTCTCATGGGCTCTTCTCACCTGTTCACTCTGATGAAGCAAGATGCCACACTGTGGCCTAGAGAGAGGTGGTGGGGCTGGAACTAAGGGCAGCCCCCAGTGAACAACCAGAAGAAACTGAAGTCCTTAGTCCGACAGGCTTCAAAGAATTAAATACAGACAGCAAACGTGTGAGGGAGCCTGGAGATGTCTGCAGCCTCATGACAGACCTTGAGCTAGAAAGCATAGCTAAGCCATGGCTCGGTTCCTGAAACTGTGAGATAGTAAATGAGATTTATGGCCCCATCATGAAACATTGGATTGATTGAGGATGTTGTCTCTCTTTAAAAAAAAAAATGACACTTTTATTGAGATATAATTCACATGCTGTACAACTAACTCATTGATTTAAAAGGTGCAATTCAGTGGTTTCTAGTGTATTCACAGGGTTGTACAGTCCTTTTCCTTAGCATAATGTTTTCAGCCGTGTTGTGGCATGTATGTAGTATCTAGGTCATTCCTTTATATGGCAGAATAATACTCCATTGTATGGATTAACACGTTTATCCATTCATCAGTTAATGGGTATGTGAGTTTCAAATTTTTAGACATTCGTGTTCAAGTCTTTGTGTGAACGTAGGTTTCATCTCCCTTATTGGGGTAGATATCTGGGAGTAGAATTGCTGGATCAGATGGTAACTCTATGTTTAACATTTTGAAGAAATTGTCAAACAGTTTTCCAAAGTGGTTGCGATGTTTTATATTCCCACCAGTAATGTATGAGCATTCCAGTTTCTCCACATCCTTGACAACACTGTTACTGTCTTTTTAATTAAAGCCAACTCATGAATGTGAAGTGGCCTTTCACTGTGGTTTTGACTTGTTTTTCCCAGTGCTAATGATGTTGAACATCTCTTGATGTACTCACTTAGCCATTTGTATATCTTCTTTGGATAAACATCTTTTTAGACACTTCACCCATTTTTTTCTTTTTTTTAGAAATTTGATATTTTTATTACTTTCTTCTTTTTTTTTTTTTTTTGCAGTTTTTGGCTGGGGCCAGGTTTGAACCTAATGCCTCTGGTATATGGGGCCAGTGCCCTATTCCTTTGAGCCATAGGCACTGCCCTCACTTCACCCATTTTTAATTGGATTATTGGTTTTTGTTGAATTCTAAAAGTGCATAAGGGCCATTTTTTAAATATGTGTGTGTGTGTGTATCCCCTTTATCACTGGGCAAGAGACATGAACAGAACCTTCTCCCAAGAAGAGAGACGAATGGCTGACAAATGCATGTAAAAATGTTCAGTGCCCCTAATCGTCAGAGAAATGAAAATTAAAACCACCTCAAGATATCACCTAACCCCAGTTATAATTACCCAGATCACAAAATCCCAAAGCTACAGATGCTGATGTGGATGTGAAGAGAAGGGAACATTTACTACACTATTTCTGGGACTGCAAATTAATACAGTTATTTTGGAAAGAAGTATGGAGAAACCTCACAGGGCTAAAAGTAGACCCTCCTTTTGATCCTGCAATTCCATTACCAGGTATCTACCCAGAAGGAAAAAATCATTTACCATAAGGACATTTGCACTAGAATGTTTATCGCAGCTCAATTTATAATACCAAGATGTAGAAACAACCCAGTGCCCATCAACCCATGAATGGATAAATAAACTGTGGTATATGTATACCATGGAGTACTATTCAGCCATAAAGAAAGATGGAGAGTTTACATATTTTGTATTCACTTGGAAGGATTTGGAGAACATCCTCCTAAGTAACGTATCACGACTGGAAAAGCAAGCATCCAATCTACTCAATATTAATATCAAACTTGTAGATGAACAACTAGATACCTACACAAGAAAAGCACAATTAAATTCAAGAAACAGGGGAGAGGGCAGAAGTTTGGTGAGCTCTCACCTGATGGCCTAATGTGTGTGGCGTACCTCTGGGTGAAGGGCTCAACTACAACTTGGAATTTACCTAACAAATGCAAACTATGTGACCTAATCGTATGTACCCTTATATTAATCTGAAATTTAAAAATATATGTGTAAATTTACATATATGAGCAATTTACAGTATTCTCTTTAGTGGGTTTCTCTCTCACTTTTTTTATGACACAAAAAGTCATATTTTAAAACAAAAAAGTTTTGATAAAGTCCAATTTTTCTTTTGTCATTTGTGCTTTTGATATTATATCTAAGAAGCCCTTACCTAATCCAAGGTCACAAAGATTTACTCTTATGTTTTTTCCTACGATTTTTATAGTTTTATCCCTTCCATTTAGCTCTGTGATCCATTCTGAATTACATAGTATGAGATAGAATTCCAACATAATATTACTGCATGTGGATAACCAGTTGTCCCAGCACCATTTATTGAAAGACAGTGATTTACCCCATTGAATTGTCTTGGCACCTTGTCAAAAATCAATTGACCATAAGTGTATAGACTTATTTCCTATCAATGGAATAGGATGCTATTTCATTGATTTACACACCTATCCATATGCCAGTAGTATACAGTCTTACTGTAGCTTTGTAAGTTTTGAATTGGGACATGTGAATCCTTCAATTTTGGTTTTTTTTTTTTTAATATAGTTTTGGATATTCTGAGTCCCTTATAATGTCATATGAATTTTAAGGTCAACTTCTGTAAAAAACAAACAAACAAACAAAAAAAAGGAAGCTTGGTTGTTAATGGGGATTATGTTGAGTCTGTAGAGCCATTTGGTGGGACCCAGAATCACTTTACACAAGGAAACTTCTCCAGTTCATACACCCTGGTGATACACATCTGGGGCCCTTACCCTTGTGCACCAAATCCAACAGAAGCCACCGCTTGAGAGAAAGGTATTCTACTTTTCTGCACTCTATTTAATAATCTTATATTTGTAAAGCAGGTTATAAAATATGAAGTGTGGTGTTAGAAGCCAATTCCTGGCTCACTCATTAGGTGAGTGAAAATCAATTTAATTCCACATGATGTAAACACAAAGTATAACAATCCTTGATTTTAAATTTGGGTATGAGTTTATCATACACATAAGTTTCTAGCTACAAAGCTGACTGATATTAAAATGACCTTTTAAGAAACTTGGAAACATTAAGCAAACCTTCTGTCTGTCAATTGCATAGCCCAAGATTGCCAAGTGCCATTACCTGTCACACATCACTAATACAGAATTTTTCCAAACAATCTATTTAATTTTATCATATATACTAAGATGTATGTCAGTCAGATCATCACTTTCTGTTCCAATTTACAATTACATTTAAATTATAGATACATGAAAGGAAGGTGGCTCATGCTTATAATCCTAGCACTTTGGGAGGCCAAAGCAAAAACGTAGTGAGATTGTGACCTTACAAAAACAACTTTTTTAAATTAGCCAAGTGTGTTGAATGCACCTGTAGTCTCAGGGACTCTAGAGGCTGAGGCAGGAGGATGAGGAAGCTGAAGTGGATCACTTGTGCCTGGGAGTTGTAGGCTACAATGACCACTCCAACCTGGGCAGCAGAGAACGGTGAATAAATAAATAAATAAATAAATAAGCAATACATTTCCACCTTTAGAGGGCACTCATAATATGCAGTACTTAGACATTCAAAATAAGCAGCTCTACCAGGAATAGAACATTTAAGATCTTTGGATAAGCTAGTGATCTAAAAAAAGATAATCCTTTTCCTTTGATTAGTGTAACTTTCCAGGGAAGCCCCTGGCAGACTCAAGAGATAGCCCAGCATTAGTCAAAGGGAGAGAAACAGAGTGGATCTTGCACTAATGTTGGTAAAACCAGGCACCAGGACTCATTCGGGGCCTTTACTGCAGAAACATGTCCAGGCTTTCCCAAGACAACCAAGAGTGCCTTCAGAAACATTCCTCCAGGCCATCTATGTGGACGCAAGTTCTGCTCCTATTTCGGACTAGGAGATACAATGCAAACATTTGCGAGACCACAGAAAATGAAGGGGACCCCAAGGCTGTGCCTGATGTCAAGGTAAGGCGATCTCCACAAGCCATGATTCTTTTTGGGCAAGGGAAAAGGTCAATCCAGAAAGAATACAAAACCATAAACAAACTTGAGTGCCATCACTCACTGAGGCACTATCTCTTTGTTTTCTCAAAGTGTTTTCAAGCAACCCAGGAGAAATCTAGCACCTTGATGATAACTACCTGATTGATACAGTTTCCTCCAACCTAACAGCTTAGCTCTGCCAGACAAGTGATCCTTGATTGCTTTTATTTCTCTTTGCTTGTTTCAGGAGATAATGTTTGAAAAAGTAGCAACTCTAGACAAAGATTTTGTAGTTACTTGTATTAGCCCTTAAGATGTTTTTCTCTGATATAAGTATCATATCCTATATGCAATAAAAAAAAAAAGCATAGACTGTTTTCTACAAAAATTTCAAGAGGAAAAAATTGATAAGCTAATACTTAGGGTGATAAGAACATTAAGGAGTGTTTTTGCTAAAACCAAAATTTCCTAAGGTGAATTTTCTAAGCATGAGTTTCTATGACTAGGTAATAATATTATTTCTCTGAACAGTGATAATTTACTGACTTAACATTATGTGTATCTTTGAAGAAAGTACAAATTAAGTCTGTAAATCCTCTTACCTATTAATAGAACTATCTCTTAAAAGGCTATTTGGGGGCTAGGCACAGTGGCTCATACCTGTAATCCTAGCAATTTGGGAGGCCAAGGCTGCTGGATTGCTTGAGGTCAGTTCAAGACCAGCCTAAGCAAGAGGAAGACCCTGTCACTACACAAAATAAAATATTAGTCTGGCATGGTAGCATGATGTCATGCACCTGTCACCCCAGTTACTTAGGAGGCTGAGGAAGGAGAATCATTTAAGCCCAAGAGTTTGAGGTTACAGTCAGTTAACAGGTTATTTGGTATAAGGGATGGGGGGAACATGTCTTAACGTCTAATAAAGAATAAGCAGAGGTCAGAACTTAACGCTGCAGAATCATCCTACAGCAAACCTACCCAAATACTTTAACACCAGAAAATTCACCTGTTCCTATGCCATGTCTCATATCTTGATATCAATCATTATTTATTTACAAATCCTCTGTTTAAAATTCATTAGTTGTCCCCTTTTTTCTGTAACCAATTGGTACATGCAGATGCAAAGATTTTTTTTAAAAAGTCATGTGGCTCACGCCTGTGGCTCAAGTGGCTAAGGCGCCAGCCACACACACCTAAGGTGGTAGGTTTGAATCCAGCCCAGGCCTGCCAAACAATGATGGCTGCAACCAAAAAATAGCCAGGCATTGTGGTGGGCACTTGTGGTCCCAGCTACTCGGGAGGCTGAGGCAGGAGACTTGCTTGAGCCCAGGAGTTGGAGGTTGCTGTGAGCTGTGATGCCACCACACTCTACCCAGGGGGACAGCTCAAGGCTCTGTCTCCAAAAAAAAAAAAAAGTCATGAAGGGGCGGTACCCATGGCTCAATGAGTAAAGCGCTGGCCCCATGTACGGAAGATGGCAGGTTCAAACCCAGCCCCTGCCAAACTGCAACAAAAAAATAGCTGAGCATTGTAGTGGGTGCCTGTAGTTGGGAGGCTCAGGCAAGAGAATCGCCTAAGCCCGAGAGCTGGAGGTTGCTGTGAGCTGTGATGCTAAAGCACTCTACTAAGGGCGACAAAATGAGACTCTGTCTCAAAAAAAAAAAGAAAGTCATGAAGAAGTTTTTCCATAGTAAGGCACTGACATTTGCTTTTGAGCTTTCGAACATTGTGAACAAATAACACATGACTTTCCACACCCCCTGTCATCATAGAAGCACCAAGAGTTTAGGAAACAAGGATGAAATAGGATGTAGTGGACGGGAGTCTTTAATTAATGGTCATCTAAAGGTAAGACGCACACAAAAGATAATTCTGAAAAGTAGCAGTTAGAGGCTACTCCAAGCAAATGGATAGCACAACAAATCAAACGGAGACATGAAATGATGTTTAAGAAAGTACAGAACCCATGATTGCATTGATGTACACAGCTATGATTTAATAAAAAAAAAAGTGTAGAAGTAGAAAGGGTACAAGGGCTAAAATGTGTATGGATGTCCAGGGGCCAATGAGAAACCCTCAAAAAATTCTCAACCTAAGCCTCACACTTATACAAAAATTAATCCCAAATGAATCATGAGCTCAAATGTAAAACTATAAAACTTTTAGGAAAAAGTGGGAGAAAATCTTTGTGACCTAATGCCATGCAAAGAGTACTTAGACATCAAAAGCATGACCCATTAGAGAAAAAAAAATCAGTAAATTAGAGCTTATCAGAATTTGAAGCTTCTGCTTTGCCAAAGAGACTATTTAAAAAATGAAAGCAAGCTATAAACTGGAAGAAAATACTTCCAAACCCTTGAATCTAGAATAAAGAATTCTCAAAACTCAAAGAGTAAAAACAAACAGTCCAGCTAGAATATGGGCGAAAGACATGAACAGACATTTCACTGAAGGGCATGTACAAGTGGCAAATAATTAGATGAAAAAATATTCAGCATCATTAGCCAAAAGGGAAATGGAAATTAAAACCACAGGGAACCACAACTACACACCTGGCAGAATAGCTAAAATACGGGAAATAGTGGCTCTAAAAATGGCTAGAATGACTAAAATTGTGTAGACACCAGCTGCTGTTAGGGATGCAGAGAAATTGAGTTACTCATAAATTGCCAGTAGGGATGCAAAATGGTATAGCCAGCCTGAAAAATAATTCAGCAGTTTCCTGCAAACCCAAATATGCAGCCACCAGCAATTTCACTACTGAAATGAAAACCTACATCTACACAAACGCTGCACACCAACATCCACAGCAGCTTTGTTCATAACAGTCAAGAACAAGCTACAGCTCTAAAGCCTCTCAAGGAATGAAGGATTAAACGAACCCCGGCACATCCATCACGGAACACTGAGAAGCAACGAAGAGGAATGAACTACTGATAAACAAAACAGCAGGGACGGCTCTCAAGGCAATGACGCCGGAAGGAAAGCCAACCCCCAAAGGTCACAGGCTGTATGATTCCCTTTATAGACCACTCCTGAAATTAAATTACAGTCAAGGAGAACAGCCTGGTGGTTGCCAAAGATCACAGAGATAAACGAGGGCCGGTGGATGCAGTAACTCGGGGCCAGTACTTTAGTGGGAGCTGTGGGCAGATGGAGCAGTCCTGTGCCTGGATTGCAGCAGCAGTCACACACATCACTCGTGTAATGTGATGAAACTGTGGAAATGTATACACACGCATATGCACAAATGAACGCGTGGAAAGCTCGTGAAACCTGAATAAGCTCTGTGAACTGAGCAATGCAAATTTCCTGGCTTTGATATCATGCTTTAGTTATGCCGTCTCCATGGGGGAAACTGGGTAAAGGGTGCATGGAGCCAGCCTGTACTTTTTTTTTTTCTTTTTTGCAACTTCCCATGAGTCTATCACTATTTGAAAATAAAAAGTTTTTAAAAAGCAAAAAGCCCGAAACCTCCAAAGGCAGATTAGACTGACAGCACAGACACATGAATTGCCATGATCATCGTGGTTCTGCCAGCTGTTCTCTCCATCTGGATTCCTAGGTCAGCAGCACCAATGTGGTCAGACCTGTTTTAGTGATGAGGAAGCAAGTTTGCAATTGCTGTTGGTTACATACGTGAAGTCAGTGGACTGGTAATTTCAACCCAGATCTTCTGACACTGATTTTGACACTAACTTGTTAGCCTCTGACAGTAACTTAGAAAGTGAACTGTCATTTCCTGGACTTGCAACTGGCCTTTTCAGTGGTACTTTCTCTCCCATGCATTTTGCCCAGGATACTCCAACATGGGCCACTGAGTTACTACAGAATAAAGCAATGCCCCCCTGACACACACACACACACACACACACACGCCTGCACGTGTCTTCATCAACATTTTTGCTTCCTCCCAGGGCAGAAAGAGCAAGTGGGAGCCAGGGTGTACTGGGGCAAGCCTTCCTAGACAACAGACAAGAGAAAGAGAAAGCATTATCGCCACTCTGGGGAGAAGTCAAATCTACCAGTATAGATATATGTATGTATGTGCTTTATTTTTAAGTAATCAGTGTGGTTCAGAACTCAGACAAGAGAGTTAATTCTGCAAAATTATTCTTTAGCACGTTCCATTGTCAATGTCCTTCTAACAATGTGGGCTTTTGTGTGCTCTGCTATTCCAGACATGTGATCCCTTGAGAAGCTGATCAAGGCCCTTCTTTTGAGACAGAGTCTCGACAGAGATAGACTATGTCACCCTTGGTAGAGTGCTGTGGCATCACAGATCACAGCAATTTCATACTCTTGGGCTTAAGTAATTCTCTTGCCTCAGCTTTCCAGGTAGCTGGGACTACTGGTGCCTGTCACAACGTCCAGCTATTTTCTTTTGAGACTTTATATACAAAAGGGAGAAAAATAAATCTCAAGGCACCAAAGAGCAGCTACAAAGACAATGGAGCCCTGTGTGATGAAAAGGATAAAGAAAGAAGAAAGGAAAAACATCTTAGTAATAAAGCAACTGCACTTCTAGTATCCAAACTGTAACATTAATTTATTGAGAAGACAGAATTACCCTGTCCTGCCTCCATTTATGAAAGAGAAAGTTTGCTAAGAATAAAATTGTTTCTTATCTTTCTGAAGATCCTCTGAAAACAATTCCACAGTGATCAGTTTAACACTTGAGAAGTTCACAAACCTATTGAGGAAAAGGCTCATTTGTAAGTCCGCCATGCTTCTCTCTGCCGTAGTCAACATCCACTTTCAATGGAAGTTTCTCCAGAACCTCCTGTAGGATCTTTCCAGACAAGTGATGGTTGATGTCTCTGTAGGTGCCACACTCAGTACCGTGGATTCTCACTGAGGCACACTTACGTGGCAGTCCTTTAGTGGGGACCATGAAGAAGACCTGGAATGTGGTCTGTGGAAAAGTGAAAAGGCTTTTCAACTATTCAGCCTCTAGCTCACAGATCCCAGGACAATCCATG